TCAGAAAAAGACAATTCAAATTTTTCGGGTGCATAATGAGGAAAGAAAGCTTGAAGAATTTGTCACTCACAAAACATATTGCGGATAAGAGAGACAGATGAAAGCAATGAATAACCTATCTAACAAGCCTGTGTAAAGAGTTGGCAGAAGAGGGATTAGGAGAGATAGGGGAAAAAACATAACTAAGAGCTACAAAGGATAGGAAGTTGTCAAGAGGCATGATCGTCCACGTCCTGAAGGGACACGGGTCATTGAAGAATAAGAATAGTGAAATAGCAAAGTAAACTGCCTTGAATTATTTTTTTATTAGGTTGAAGACAGCGCAGATAAAATCAACATTAAATTTTACCAATGCAGCAACGATAGTTAAATAATTTTTGCTGCAGTTAATTATTTGGTTTGGTTTGTTTAACGGCATATCAAATCCTTATGGGTCATTTAATGTAGAAATTTAATTTTCTTAGGAGCTTTGGTAAATTTGCTGGTAATTTTTCTCTTCCTTTTCCAATAATGTATCGCTAGTATTTTTTTTACTATGAAAATGTATTGCTGGTATTATTACGGCAAAAATGTATTTCTATACTTTCATAGTGTTTTGACCCTAAGCTATTTGCCCATAGCTGAGACCCTAACAGGTGGTACCATCCCGAGTGAGGGTGAACCTGGGAACAACAGCAATTAAGAGGTGGTTCCAAGCTCCATAAATCCTCCCAGTCAGAGGCCTTGCTGCCGGATGTAATTTATCATCATACCCAGGACAATTTAATTATTAACTAAGTGTGGCAGCATATTTTTAATAATTTCACCCCAAATAAAACAATAAAGCCAAAGCGTTACTCAATGTGGGAAAATACGAGAAAAAAGAAAATATTATTAAGGAGATAAACAATAAAAGAACAGCAATTAAGACAGAAGATAACGATTGGCATTGCATTTAAATATTTGAAAGCAAAAAGCCGGAAGAGAGTTACCCAAGGAAGATTGATTGGTTTGGTTTGTTTTGTTTTACGGCATATCGTATTTAATGCCGACAGTTTTTTTTCTTGGTAATATTTTGTTTTGTTAAAAATCTATTTCTGATAATATTTTTTTCCTCAAAAATGTATAGCTGGTAATATAATTTTTAAAAACGTATTGCTGCTAATAGTTTTTTTTTCAAAAATATATTGCTGGTAATAGTTTTTTTTTTTCTTCAAAAATTTATTTCTGGTAATAATTTTTTACAAAGTATTTCTAGTATTAAAACCTATTTTTACACTTTTATAATGCTTTTTACTTCAGTTTCGGGGTTCACTATTTGCCCATAGCTGGGACCCTAACAGGTGTTACCACCCCGGGTCAGGGTGGATCTGAGAACACCAGCAATTAAGAGGTGGTTCCACGCTCCTCAAAACCTCCTGATCGGAGGCCTTGCCGTTGGACGTAGTTTATCGTCTTACCCTGGACGCGGATGTAGTTTATCGTCATACCCAGGACGGCAAGAAGTGCGAGAGAAGAAGCTGTTAGCATAGAACTTACGGTTACATCTAGTCATTCCAACTGTAAGAGGATGAGAACTTGTCGCCAATCTAGTAGTACGCTTAAATTCAGTCTATAAAGTCTATGTACCAAAGAGGAAAGCTCATTAGAACAATTAGTACAGAATGGATTTAGTAACGATAAAAACGAATTTTTTTTTCCCATAGGGCAGTGGCCGTCAAATTTTTCAGTAGAAGCGCCACAATGTATTTTTTAACCATTTTCACATGCTAAAGAAAAAAAGAGTTTCATAAATAAATGACTAAAATTTTAAAGATTGAATAAATTTAATTTGGATACCATGCTTATACCGTGAAGGAAAATGTTATTGGTTAAAATATCAAACAGGTCTTCTTCTATGGCCGCTCTCCTTTCTATCCATATAAATCTAATTGATTTTATATTTTAAAGAAATGGACAATATCAACTGCTTAATAATTAGATGAAGCCCTAAACCAGCGGTCGGCAACCCCCAGCGCCTGTACCACATCCGGCTCACCGAGGATTTTTGCCCGGCCCGCTAACTTAACCGTAGTAAAGAATTTGCATTTTTTTGTTGATTGTGTTAGTTATTCCTGTAGTAAAATAAGGAACATTGTTTAAATAATATAACAATTAAATAATATAACAACATTGACGTTGTTGTTTTTTTTGTTTAAACCCTCATACCAAGGCAGTCTTCTGGGCGGAGCCGTCTGAGATCGAGACAATTTATAGTACATTTGATATCATGACCCACCTTCGAGACACTGCATAGCCGTCTGGCCCGCTCTCTCCAAAAGGTTGCTGACCCCCTGTTCTAAATTCTAGTTTTGAAACTCTGTTTCACTGTTTTGTGACTCCGTTGTCATTACTCGCTTTTTCAAAAGAACAGCAAGTCATATCAGAGACATTTCGACTTAAAAACCAGTGAGATTTCCCATCTTCAGAGTAGCCACTCGTTTCCGTGCATGCCCGTCTTATCAGATCCATTTGTGCTTCTTCAACACTCACAGAACCAACAAGTGCTTTATACTGCAAATATTCTGAACGGGCTTTAGCAACAATTCAAGTATTTGCCCTCGTCAGGGCCACATACGGTTTATCACAGCTAATCTTCCATTATGTACCGTGTCACTTCATGATGTAAGCGATGATAGCCCTTCACATCTTCCTGTCCTTTGTAGCTCTTAATAAGTTTTGTCTTTTTGCTATCTCTCCCAAGCCGTGCTCTACAATCAATTTACTGAAGCTCATTAACTAGAACAAAGTAATAAATTATTTAACTGCAGACGATAAAGTGTGTTTATACATTTCAATATTTCAAGTCGCTGCGGAGAAGATATAGTTTTATGGTGGTCCGAGTGTAGCATTTGGACCGTTGTGTTGTTTAAAGACACCGGGTATAGTGGAAGAAAAAACCGATTTCAAACCAAGTCCATTAATTCGTATTTATAAGAAGAGTAAAATGGCAGCTAGTTCTCATCATCTTACTGTTGAAATGGCTACTTGTAACCGTTAGTTCTATTCTGATAGTTTCTTCTTCCGCACTTCTCGCTTGTGAAACACTTTTCCAGATTTTTTTTGTTTTCCCGTCAACTATCATTTTCAAAAACTTAAATGCAGAGTGGTCATTTGTCTTCTTCAATCCTCTTTATTGTTGTTTTTCTCCCCAGTTACTTTTTATCTCCAGTTTCCTTGCGTCTTAGTGGCTTTATCACCTTACTTGGGGTGGAATGAATCAAAGAGGTTTCACGACCTTATCAGCAGGAATTTTTTTTTTCACCTTACAGATGATATTTACCTAGTTTCCAACGAGAGTTGAATGCGATGCATAATTAATTTTAACGCGCGCATCAAGGTCAAATATTGCCAAAAGTGCCACGTCGGTGTCAGAATACTCCTACCCTCCTCTTGAAGTGAAATGGGAAGGGCGCTGATGCAGTGTTGGAATCATTGGAACCTGACTCCCATTGTCGTCAGGCCAGCAACCGCCCAAAAAGCATGAGCCTGTTCATGCATCTTGCACTGTAGTACGGAAAAACAGCAGCGGAAACAAATACTGCATTTTGATGTCAGTGCCAAAGCCGGAAAGATGTTTTAAAAACCATGCAAATAATTAGACTGAAAAATAGAAGCGTCATTCACAAAAGATATTTTAAATTAATCCTGTAGCATTATTATTGTAGAAATATTAAATATTATTTTAAAGTATTATTAAGAATTATTGTTCAGTGCTCCTTATAGCTTCTTGACGAAAGGTTAGATTATATTATTATTATTGTTAAAAATCAGGTAATTACATGAAGGCCGACATTCGGTTAGTTATGTACCATGCGTGATACACGCTGAGACAATCATGTATCATTCGATACATGACTGACGAGACAGATTATTTTTCTCACAGTAGGTTGCCATTTCTTTCTGCGGTAGACCAGTTGCCATCCAAGGATATAGAACCCGGTCTGTCCTGCTATTTTCCTATAACTGGGAGGAGGAGAAGAGAATTCATACCTTTCCCAAGGGTATTAGTACTTAAGCGAATGTAATGGATTCGACTGGAATTCGAATGGATTCCTCAATCCGAGCCGCTATCCATAACTTCGCCAAGTTTAATTATTGAACTACATAATTTTTATATGCAACTTAGGATTTTGACCAGTACTTGGGTTGCTTCAACATTTGTTCCAGAATTATTAGTACTCAACTTAATTAAAATAATGATACCAGTGCACTAATATTTTAAATATATGCATAGAATTTATTTTTATATAAAAATAAATAAACTCCCTTCTAATGGAGTTACATCATGGCCGCTCAACTGGTTTTCGAGACAATTCGAACAAATTAAAAGCAAACAAATTAACAAATGTAAATATGTCTTAAAATCCATCAAACCAACCTTTTATTTTGTAAAATAATGTTTATTACTTATTTTTATATAAAAATAAAATTTATGCATAAATTAAATGTATCATTATTGCACTAGTATCATTATTTTATACAAAAATATTAACCTGTTCATTTCGCTTTCTTTTCCTTTTCAATGAATAGCATTTCCACAATCTATTACAAAACCCCAGTTATTTAAGTTTTAAGTATGTATTAATTAAGTTCTAAGTATGTATGTTCACAAATCATTTAACACTAGATTCCAGCTGATCAAAGATTAGTAGAACTACAATAAAAGGTAAGTTTAGATTTTAAATGCTGTTGGAGTTTGACTAATTACAGAGTTGCTCCTTTTATTTATTTGCAACTAATTCAATGACTTGACATCGGGCTCAAGTGTCGTCTTTAAACGAGTACGTTTAATAGATATTACCTATGGTGCACTGAGTGAAGATCGAACTCGCCAGTGCAGTAATGCTAGTTATTCCTCCACGGCGATGTAAGAAAATATTTTGCTTAATTTTTCAATATGTTGGCGTTTGCAGAAATCCAAGAATGTGTTTCTGTGGGATTTCTGGCGTTTACAAAATGGCCGAGGGTGGTTTTAAGAGTTAAAATGATAGATAGATAGATAGATAGATAGAGAGAGAGAGAGAGAGAGAGAGAGAGAGAGAATAATGAATATAAAAGAGAGGACATGTTGGGGACAGTAAAATGAGATCACGAAAGAGAAAAGTGAATGAGAGAAAGAGAATAATACGGGAGTATAAAAGAGACAATGAGTGAGAGACAGTTACGAAGAAAGAACAAAAACGACAAAAGAAGGTAAATGTAGAAAAGCGAGAGGGAGGGAAGATTAAGTAAGTGTGAGAGAAAGAAGGAGAGCTAATGAAAAAAAAAAAAAAGAAAAGAATGGAGTCAGTAAAGAAGTAGTCGTATCACAGACTCCTGACCGAGGGAAGGGGACTCGAATTGTTGCTGGTTTGTATAAGACGCCCAGCTGTGATCTCTGTAGGGGGCCCTTGCAATATCATGGCGACCAAGGATATTAAGAGGGAACAAATGTCCGTTAACGGATCGAGTTAGTTTATGAGACCGAAGCGAAGAAAAGAAAAAATAGTGATGTGAACGCTATTGTACATCAATAAGACCCCGGAAACAATACAATGACGGTTTCTGTTGTGTTTAACACCACACCCACCCTTCATGCTTTAACTGTGAAACAACTCGTACCCACACCACGACTTTCCTTCATTCCTTTCTTTTCTTTTATTTATTTATTTATTTTTTGGTAATTCCGACCATGTGGAGAATAATTCTTGAATTCCATTTTACCTTTGTCTTCTGTTGTTATTATTATTTTTTATTTTTTTGCCTCGTCATCTGTAGGCAGCGGGTCTTGTTTTTCTCACGCAGCACCTTAACTCCCAAACCACCATCTTTGCTTCCAAGTAAGTCATGTCTCGTCTCAGAGTCCTTTGATGTTATGGTCGGGAGTGACGTATAATGGTGGGCGGAAGTAGATGGGGTTGACAGCACCACACCCTTGTCCGACGTGGTCTCATGTTTGTTTTTGCTATGTGCTAACGAAGTCGACGAGAAGAAGAAACAAAAGACCAAATAAGAAAAAGAGAATACGAGGAAAAGAAAGAAAAATTGAAAACGAATAACTCCGTGTACGAGGTGAGCAACAAGAATGAAAGAATGTAAAAAAAAACGGAAAGGGGAGAAGGAAGAGAATGAGTAGTAGTAGAAGGAAAATGAGAAAAAATAATCGTGAAGAGTTAGAAGGAGAAAGGAGTGAAATGAAAGACTATAAAAGACGGCGAGTGTGGGAGAGAGAGAGAGAGAGGAGGAGGAGGATATAAGAAGAAGAAGAAGAAGAAGAGGATGATATAAGAAGGCGGAAGAGAAAAAAAAACGTTGGGACGATGAAAAAAGAGAAAGAACAGTAATAATGACACGGAAAATATATATATATTTGGTTGGATAGATGTGAGTTTGTGACCCTGGGTTTCACGCTTTAGCGATCGTCAGTTTGTCTGACGATCGCCAAAGCGTGAAACCCAGAGTCACAAACTCACATCTATCCAACCAAATATGTTAGTTCTATCTCTGATATTGAGCGCTTTCTAATAAGAGTCGTGGTGTAATGGTTAGCAAGCTTGTCTAGCTTGAACAATTACGACTAAGTAGCAGGTTCGATCCTCACAGGATGACCCATACTTTCGGCCTTGTGCCACATCTAAGCTACGCTTGGAAAATTTTTATATATATATATATATATATATATATATATATATATATATATATATATATATATATATATATATATATATATATATATATATATATATATATGGGAATTAGCGACCGAGTATTGTTCGAACGCGTTACTGTTGTTGTAATTGTTATTTACAAAGTCTCCTACAAAAATAAGAAACTACTGTTATTATTAATAGTGATGACTCGTTAAAGTTTTACGATTTTCCTATTTCAGTTTTCTGATAATTCTTCATAGGTTAATGATTGAATATGCTTCTTAATACATCGGCGATTGACCTAGAGAAGCGAAAGCCATATTGTTTATCTGAAAAAAGAAAAGGCCGTGCGAAATGAGATGCTTAACCAACTCACGTCATCCAGCGTTTTGAACAGAAGTAGAGGTCTATCCCTTGTTTCCCTTTTTTAGGATTGGTTAAACTTGTTTTTCACTAATTAATTCTTTTTTTCTCCCCCAGCCCCAGTAAGAATAGAATATAATAAGCAGTCCTATCGCCCGGTTCATAATTCTCCGGGTTTTTTAACAGGAGTAGGGGGTTTGTCCCTTGTTTCCTCTTTGGGTTTGAATTTTCGGTTCCTTCAACTGTGTACTTTTGACGTCTCCGCCTGAAATCTGAAATTTTAATCAGTAATTATTTCTTCCTCTTCCAATTGGAATAGATAGGTTTGCTTATTGTCCGGTTCACACTCCACCCCAGTCTTTTGCACAGGAGTAGAGTTATATCCCTTCTTTCCTGTTTAGTATTGGGTTTCTTGTTCCTTGTAAAGTCTACTTCAACTCTATTACGTCTAATGTTTCAGCTCGAACTCTGAAATATTATTTAATAATTAAATATTGACTTCTTCAAGTCTAGAGTTAGCTATATTTTCTGCATAACCGCAAGAACGTCACTTCTTTTCCTTTCTTACACTAATACAACTCCATATAGTAACCCTCTACATTGAGTACCCCTTGAGCCTTATATTGAGTGAACATTAATCGAAAAGATTACACACTTGCTATAAAAAATGGAAACAAAAAGGAAACTTATACTTAACATACGGGATAGACCGTTGTGGTTTATAGGGCACATAACAAGGAAAGACGGCTTGGAAAATCTGATACTCACAGGACAGATTGAAGGCAAGAGGGACAGAGGAAAACAACGCATAACCTACTTAGCGAGCTTAAGTAAATGAATGGCGGAATAGGGTTTAGGAGAACAAAGACAAAATTTATTAAGCGCTACAAGGGAGAGGAGTTGTGGAGAGCCATGATCGCCTACATCCTGAGGAGACACGGCACATAAATAAGAAGAAAGTTTTTATTAGTTAACAAGGCTGATAATTTTTAAAAAATGGTGTTGTACTCAATAGAAGTATAAAACGTCAATGTAGAGATTAAAGCTTCGTTGAACTGAGATTTGTTCTAACAAAATATTTGCTTAACTAAAATTCATAATATTTGCACCTCGTTTTAGCGCAAATGGATGGAGCGTGTAAGCAACAAGGAAGGCTTAAAGAAAATGGTAGTAGAATGACGACTTCAACTCAGAATCAGGAAAAAAAGTTGAAATTCCTTTGATACATAATAGGGAAGGAAGGAAGGCTTGGAAAACTTAACCGTCACAAGGCATATTGGATACAAAAGAGATAGAGGAAAGCTGCGAGCCACTTGACAAGCTTGTACGAATTGATGGCGGAACAAGGAAAGGGAGAAAAGCTATTAAGAACCACACGAAATCCCTGAAGAGACATGGCGCATAGAAGTAGAAGTATCTTTCAGTTTTAGATTAGCTTAATTTTTTTTTAATTAATTGTTCTTATATTTTCGACAATTTTCTTGATATAAATTATTCCGATATCTGATTATTTTCTGCTTTTAGTCGCCCAGTAGCCATTATCAAAGATTTTTTGTTTTTTGTTATGTTAGTTTTCTCTTTTTTCTAAGATTATGTCCTCAATCGCAAAAGCGTGAAACCTAAGGTTACAAACTCACATCCATACAACTAAATATGTTAGCTCTATTACTGATATTGAGCGCTTTCCAATAAGTACCGCACATATGTAATATATATATATATATATATATATATATATATATATATATATAAAATCACATACACACACATATATATATAAATATATATATATAATGTACATACATTACTTCTTTTAGAAATATATATATAAACAACTAATGTATTTTTTGTTTATTAATCCGACAGATTTTATCCCTTTAAACGTTATTTCGACGCTCTCTGCGGAGAGACCATGTTTTTCTTTTATATCATTTTACGAATATTCAGGTCGGTAGACAAAATAAATAAATATACTGTTTAATAAATAAACGGAGCATCTACTAAAAATACTAGTATCCACTGAAAATAACGTTTAAAGTGATTATATATATATATATATATATATATATATATATATATATATATATATATATATATATATTTCTCATCTAACAGATTCAAACGTATTCGCTCAATCACCGGACTGTCATTTTTCACTAAATCATCAGTTCGACGACCTGATGACTGTGTGGTAAAGCCACTGTCCACTGAAAATTTATACACAACGCGTGCGCGCACGCACGCACACACACACACACACATATATATATATATATATATATATATATATATATATATATATATATGTTTGTCACTTCTTTGAAGAAGAATACCATCTCTTCACTTGGTAGCCTTTTGTATTCATTCAGAATTCTATTATTTCCATCATTTATGATTGAGCTAACGCTCTGCTATGGCCCCGTAAGTGATTATTAAGGCCACTTTCACTTTTACAACCACTCTTACAAACGTGTCTATGTTACTTATGTTGTACCTGTGCACAATCATGTGACGTTTGTCCCGCACCAGACTTAGAAACTTTGTCACAGAACTTGCACAATTAACTTGCAGTTGTTTCTGGTAGGGTTGCATTCACAGGAACTTGCATCTAACCTCTTTGGTGTGATCTCATGTGACCTAACAGCTCTGGGGCGGATTCTATATTGCTCTTCGTAAAGGCGCGCCTTTTGTTAGTAAGCTCATTTTTTCTTCTGTTCAGGATTATTTTTTTCTTTAATATATATCAGAATTTTTTTAATAGGTATTCAGAATTATTTTGTAAATAGGTTTCACCCCAGATAAGGCAGTGCATTCACTAATACGCAAGGGGTTACAGTGTGTGAAGGAATTGCGAACAGAAACATTAGTAATGAGAAAGAGAAAATAGCAATCAGCAGGACAGCAGATAGCGATTTAGCATTGCATTTAAGATTAAAGTTGGCTGGAAAGCATGTAGCCGGAAGGGAGTGTCACAAGCGAGAAGTGCAAGAAAAGAAAAACTGTTAGCATAGAAGTTAAGGCTAGCTAGCTAACTCAACTGTAAATTTTATGAGATCTCGTCTCCAGTCTAGTATTGCCCTTGAATCCATAAAGTCTAGGTACCACAGCAAAGAGCTCATCCGAACAAATACCATGAAAGTATTTATTTAAAAAAGACACAGAGAGGCAACCATATGGCGGCCGGCAAGTGACTGAAGCCGAGCAGCCAGACCAGGACCAAAAAAATTGCTAATTTTTCTATGGAACTTATCAAGGAGCTTCAGGAAAATAGCAGGAGAACCAGAGCATATATAGCAGCAATATTCTAAGCATGGACGAACGGTAGACTTATAGATATGCAAAATAGATTGCGGAGAGAAAAATTGTGTCGTTCGACACAGTGAATCGACTTTCTTAGCAGCTGATGTAGCGATGAATTCAATGTAGTCTTTCCATCTCATATCAGCAGAGATCGTTAGCTCGAGAAAGCATAATGATTCACTTTCCTGGGGGATAGCATCAGTCGTGCTGATAGAAGGCAAAGAGGGGTCTCTCAGGTGATTAATGGAGATAAATTTATTTTTGGAGACGTTAAAATTGATAAGCCATCTTTTGCCCCAGTTAATGATGGTTTTGAAGTGTACAAAACCGGCTGCCATTTTGACCTTGTTTGACTGATCAGCCTTACTGTCTGTCGTGGCAGAAGTAAATGGCAGTGTCGACAGCGTAGATGTCAGGTTGAGAGATGATTTCATCGGTCAGGTCGTTAATGAAGATTAAAAACAGTTTAATTACTGCTCAAATACGCACATTATATATATATATATATATATATATATATATATATATATATATATATATATAGTTGTAATCAAATATAGATAAAATATGGATCGGAATTCGACAGAATAATAAGATAAAAATAAATCGGTAACGTTTATCAATCTAATACGTTTCACTTTTATTAAATCTCCCTTTTATCTTTTATTTTTAACTTTTATCAAACTTTCTATTACTGAAGCGAAGGCTTCAAGTCTTGGCTTGAAATTTGTCACGGAATTAAGAAAAGACGACTCTATCACAATATTAATTAAAAACCATAGATTCGACTACACGGAATTTGAAAAAGGTTTCATACAAGGTATCTTAGCAACGACCCTTATAAATACGAATGAAACTACTTTACCCAGGAGATATTTACTGGCATTAAAAAAAACTTGTCCAGGAATAAAAACATCATCATAAACCCATCCGATAAATACGGTGGAACAGTTATAATGGACAGCAACGTCGACATTGAACAATTAGAATATCTCCGTGGAAGGTTTAATAGAATTGAAACCTGTTAGATTGATAAACATTTCCTATTTGTTGTGTATCTTATTATATTTCCGAGGTCTGTGTGAAAAGTGTCAACACTGGGTGTGCTGTGTGATCTATAGGCAAAAGAGGGATAAGCAGATTGTGTTATCATCTAACATGGTTATCTTGGGAGTATATAACTGTAATCTTAGCTTTCTGCAACCATTGCATTCTTTTTACATACTTTTGTGGCGGGACAAATCGTGACTGCTTAATCACGACAATGCACCTGCATGCAATGCCCAGAGCATCCGGCAGTTGCTGGTCGAGAAGAACATCGCCGTACTGGAACAACCTCCCTATTCCCCTGATCTTGCTCCGTAGGGCATTTTTCTTTTTCACAAGCTCAAGTGGATCATCAAGAAGACCTGTTTTGAAGGCGTGGAGGCCATCAAGATGACCGTAACGATGGAGCTGTTGGGCATCCAAGAAGAATGGAAAAGTGCATTAGCTTCAAGGGAAACCATCTAGTTTGATTTTTGGAATTAGAATAAATTCTTTGTGACACATAATCGTAAAAATACGACTATAGCAGCACCATCCACCTGTCCGGAATAGATAACACTTGTGTGAACACAATAAAAATTAGCATTTTAGTCGTATTTAACAAAACTTGTATAAAAGTGAGATTGCTGACGAATATACGATTATATATATATATATATATATTATACTACTAGTGATACGCGGTTGGAAAAAACCATCGGATAGCACAACTTGTAAGACTATCAAAACAAATTGGTACCCAAGAAAAAAATTGGTAAAAAAAGGAAAGAACTAGAAACATCCGAACAGGGCGAAATAAATCGTCCGATGCCTTAAGTTTTTAGTCCAAAGAAAAAAAAAAACAAGTGAGTAATAAAGCTAAAACGTAGAGTGCCCATTACGCTAAGTAGAGCAAGAATAAATTAAATAAATCCTAAAGAGCCAAGAACACCCACCTAGGTTTCACCTAAACGGATCTTCCGCTTACCCTTAAAATCCGTTTAGATGAAACTTAGGTAGGGTGTTCCTGGCTCTTATATATATATATATATATATATATATATATATATATATATATATATATATATAGTAAAAAAAAGCTAAAGCGTAAAATAAGCTAAATTCCACCTGATGATTATTACTCTCTCTCTCTCTCTATATATATATATATATATATATATATATATATATATAATGTGTGTGTGTGTGTGTGTGTGTAACGCTATTTTTATATTTTATTATAGGGGAAAGTTTTTCGTGTGACGCGATAATAGAAGATCTGACAGAAATAGTGAAAGGTTGTAAGAGCCATGGCGCAAATATATTGTAGATGATCCTTCGAATAAGGCAGTCTCTAAACATATTCGTCTTAGTGACTTGTTTTCACCTTTGATCCAAGTAGCATTTTTAATTTTTTTTTCACTTTGTCATACATTTTCCTCTCTCTCTCTCTCTCTCTCTCTCTCTCTCTATCTATCTATCTATCTATCTATCTATCTATCTATATATATATGTTTCATTAAATAATATAGACAAGTGTTGTCTATTTATTGTATGTAAATTCTTTTCATAACGTCTGATAAGCTTAATAACATTATCATTAAACGAAAAAAGAAAATCACAATATTGATACATATTTTTTTTTTATTCCAATCTAAGCTTTCGGCTTACATAAGCCATTATCAAAGATGACAATTACTGTACAATATATTAAGCAATACACGGACTAGAATGTGATGATAGTCTGTTTCTGTTTACATGGATGATTTCCAAGCAACGATAAACACGGGCATATAAGACGCTGGAAGCGAAAATCGCACCGCAGCTCATAACGTCAAACATGACCACGCGAGAGTGAATTCGAGAAGTATTAAGTATATATATATATATATATATATATATATATATATATAAAAGAAATTACTTAACTTTTAAATATAAATTTTACCCTGACTTTGAATTTTCCTGGTAATATATGCGTTCTTCATGGGGTTCGGTTTTAAATGATATTTCCAATATTTAAATGATATCGAAAACTGAACTCCCTGGAGAACGAAAATCTCACCAGGA